CACTACCTCTTACATCCTACAATGCTCTTTATAAAAATGTTGTTCTTTTGTTTTTTCCTCCCACTAAAGCTGAGGGTCTCAGACTCTTGTGAAAAAGAAAACTTGAACTGTAGCTCAGCAGCTGGGATTAGCAAGAGCCAGTTCTGACATAAGCAAAGCATTGCAAGATAAAAGTGTTCACATCTTTGCTTACAAAAAGCACTTGCCTGTGCCACCTCTCATCCCTGGGGGGCTTTGGGGAGATGATTTCACCACAGCCATGCCACTGGAGCTGTGCAATGTCTGGTGATCAGGGATGAAATATGAGCAGAAAACATCTTACACAAACAAGATCATAGGCAGCCCAGACCAGCTGTGCCCCAGGCTGCAGCTCCCTCCGAGAGGGGAGGGAAAGGTTTGCAGTGTGTTTGTTGAGCAGCTCCATAAATTGATGCTCACCCACATGGAGGCCTTGCCCTGGAACACAGACATGTAGGTGATGCTTTCAGGTCCCCAGTCATGCAGAGCCAAGCTGGTGCCACTGGAGCAACAATCTGATAAATTCCCAGCATGGGTAATCCACCCGCAATAACACATCTGATGACACAAGTGCAGCCAGACTGGGGAAGTCCCATGTCAGGAAGCTGTGAATGACACACTCCTGGAGGTGGCTTACATGGTGACTTAGGTCAGGACTGACCAACTGATGGCCTGGGGCTGGATCTGATCCATGGGCAGTTTATCTTCCTTCCCAGAAAGGCCAGTCTGTCCATGGGCTGATGGCAGAGATGGCACATGGGAGATGGAGGAGGGACGAAAACCTGGGGTGAAATCCAGTCACACCAAGTGTCTTCCACATACTGCTGCAATGGTTTGGGTCCTTAATTCTTGAGACCTCAGCACAAGGAGCCACTACTTATTCTGGGCCAAAAGAATCAGTGAGAGAGGTGCTACCAGGACTAGCCAGCCCTTTCCCAGCTCTTGGCTGAGCAGCGTGAACACAAATCTACACTGGCCCTGTAAAATAAAATATTACTGGCTCAAGAATGGGAAGTCCTCAAGACACAGAGCACAGGATGATGACACACAACACAGCCAACATGGATCTGTGGACACTGCACCAGTGCCTCCCATTCCCCCAACCCATTCCTTTTCTGCAGTTCCTCTCAAAACAGCCCAGGTTATGCTGGTGAAGCATCTAGGGGACAACATAACAAGCTAGATCAGAGACATGATCCCAGCCAACATGGCTGGTCAAATTCTTTTCAAACTGGATGAGCTGTTGATCCAGCTTACCCTGCCTAAAGAATAAGGGTCATAAGTCATCACAGAGGTGGAGGGGGCTTTCACACTTGTGTTCAGGGAGTGTGCTTTGTCATCTGCTAATTTGTTTCCAAAACGATGGGCCATTTACCACCTTTGGTATCCTCTGTAATGCAAAGGACCCCTTTCTGACCTGTTACTCCTGCCCTAGAATTCCTGCCCCTGCTCAGGACTGGTGTGACACACCACACCTCTCCTCCAAAGGACAGAAGCTTTTATGGCTGGTTGCATCTGCAAAGACAAGGGCAGACACTCCCCTCATATTTGTTCCTCACCTGGGTGTGCATCTGCAGATGAACTTGCAGCCAGGCAGGTATATGTACATGGGCACGTGTTTATTAGCACTAAAAATATGTATTTGTCAAAATCTTTAGGGTTAAAAACCAGTCATTACATAATTACATTAAACAATTAACGAACTGATTCATCACTTACAGACTCACCAGCAACACCTGAAACCCATCCCAGCCACTTAACAGGGCAGAAGGTGGCACAAACAAAAATTACTCCCAGAATGTGCTGGAGATGAATGCTCTGTCCAGGTAAGAGAATATCCTTTCCACTCCTGGCTGCTCACACCTGGAAGCTGGGGGCTTGTGCCTGTCACCTGCTGGGAGGTGCTGGTTTAAGGTGTTTTGATGTAGAGATACAAGTAGCCCGTGAGACACTCATCCAGGATGTCTGTGCTCTGCAGCTTCAGACCCTTCACAGCAGGGTCTGCTTAGATCTGATTTCTGAAGTTCTATTGTTAGTAACAAACGACTTCTTTGGCGACCTTTGAAATGTTTTGTTGGCACTTCCTTCTGATCAACAGGGTCTGTGAACAGAATGAATATGCAGAACACAAAAAGCTCCATGAGCAGCCTGCTCCAAGCCTCCAGAAAAGACCTGCCTGTTATTACTGGAGCCGTGATCTGTAACGTTTTAGTTAATGGCTGCACAGGAGGGCAGGCAAACAAAAACAGAATGAAGCTGAGGAAGCAAGTTTAACTTTGCCATCACCTGCCTTCCAAGTGGGTAACCACGCAGCACTAATATCTTGGAAAAAGAAGCCTCTGGGTTTCTTCGAAACAAAACAAAACAAAAACAACCAAACAAAAAAGAACACAAACAAACAAAAAAGGAGAAAAATCACCCCTCTGCTTTCATACACTGCTGGAAAGCACCATGTCCACGGGGACTTGAGAGTGATGGTAGAAGAGAAGCTCAACAATGTGCAACTGCAGCCAGCTGTGTCCTGGGCTGCATCAAAAGATGAAGGCAGGTCAAGGAAAGTTATTCTACCCCTTTACTTGGCACTCATGAGACCCCACCTGGGGCACTGTGTCTAGATCTGGAGCCACTGACATAAGGACATGAAGCTCCTGAAATGAGTCCAGAGGAGGCCACAGAGATGATCCAAGGGCTGGAGCAGCTCTGCTCTGGAGCCAGGCTGGGAGAGCTGGGGTGTTCAGCCTGGAGAAGAGAAGGCTCCAGGGAGCAGCTTCCAGTGCCTGAAGGGGCTCCAGGAAAGCTGGGGAGGGGCTTTGGACAAGGGCAGGGAGGGAGAGGACAAGGGGGATGGATTAAAACTGGAAGATTGAGGTTGGACATGAGGAGGAAATTCTTGGGTGTGAGGGTGGTGAGAGCCTGGCCCAGGTTGCCCAGGGAAGCTGTGGCTGCCCCATCCCTGGCAGTGTTGAAGGGCAGGTTGGATGGGGCTTGGAGCAACCTGGGCTGGTGGGAGGTGTCCCTGCCCATGCAGGGGGTTGGAACTGGGTGATCTTTAAAGTCCCTGCCAACTCAAAAAATTCTGTGATGTGATTCTATAGAGAGCACCAGTGCAGCTGGAGTCCAGGCTCATAGTAAAATAATATGGGCTGCATGACTCAGCAGTGGCTGCTCAGGTGACTGCACTGGGACCCCATGAACCCAAAACTGCACTCAGAAGTGAAAGACCCTGTGCAGTCAGAGTTATGTGAGCAAATCTCTGCTAGCAGCATTTACCTTGCTGCCACCTGTGCTTAGACAATGTTGGTGCACCCTTGCTGGGAGGGCACCACTGGCAATGTAACCAACCACCTACTGATGCCTCTAAGTAACTAACCTGGGTCACCTCGCCTGGGAAGGTCTGGTGGCACCATCCCACTGCTGACCTTCAGGCAAGGACTCCTCTGGTGATGGCCAGCAGCCTGCTGCCCCAGGGCACGTGCTGGCAGGGGGCATTGTGCACTGGTGCCGGAAGCACTTCGCATCAAATGGTTTGGGTTGGAAGGGACCTTAAAGATCATCCAACCCCCCTGCATGGGCAGGGACACCTCCCACCAGCCCAGGCTGCTCCAAGCCCCATCCAACCTGCCCTTCAACACTGCCAGGGATGGGGCTTCACTTCCAGGGAGGGGGCACTTGCCCAAGGTCTGTGTTGCACATCCTTCCATATGAACAGGACATTCAGCACGACCTCCACAGCAGGCCCTGTGCCCCAGCCTGCTGTGTGGTGGGGTGGAAAGGCCTGGTCAGGCTGGGAGCAGAACTGACCTGCCTGAGGTTCTCCAGTCACTCCAGGCCCAGTCCTTGCCCCAGGGCACATAAGTGGGCTATTGAACAGGGAGGAGCCAAGTTTTCTGCAGCTGAGCATCCCCCGTGCCCCTGCCACACTGAAGAACCTTCAGCCCAGCACACCAGGAACACGATCCCTTGTTCCCAACAACATCCATGTCCCTTGACCTTGCTCCTGCTGACCTGAAGAGCAGGACAGTGTGTGCACCCCCGGGGGGAGGGCAGCAGCATGGCTGGGTTGGGCATCCCGGTCAGGAACAGCAGGGAACTCCAGGGCAACAGCGGGAACCTGGGGCACTGGGCTGGGGGCTCTGGGTGCCTTCTACTCCTTGCTTGCCCAAGGGACCTGCACCTCGGATCCCAGGGGGGAGGGCCCGATCCCGAGGCCCTGACAGCGGGGATTTGCCACCATCAGTGCCCTACGTGCTCGAGGCGGCCGGACCCCTCAAACTGGCTCATGTGGTGACAACGGAGCCCTGCCCCGGGATCCTCAGCA